TAAAGACATCAGAAGTTACACCTACAGATGACTGCAAATACGATATGAAAAAGTCCTTTTGGTTTTCATTCTAGCATGCATTTAAAAAGATGGGTCTAGAAACTGTGTTGAAAATGTCGGGCTGGCAACAAACTCCAACATGTAGCCTGTTTCCACACCCTATCTCACTCAACTGAATTGCTTTAATCTTTGGCTTGATGTAGACACAATCACAGATACAATTAAATTCTTTTAAAAATCTGACCTGCAGTTGAGAATGCTGCTTCCAAAATTAGCCAAAAGTTATGAAAATGGCTTATTATTATGTATCTACATTTTATTAGATGCTATTTATTAACATACTACAGGTATATTCGGAATATCCATGAAGTGATGTGGAGTTGTGCAGATAACAAAATAATACATACTTTCAAGGCACATAGTATACATGATAAAAGATGATGAACTAATAATAAAGATTAAGGGGCCAGGATTACATCCCTGTAATCCCAGCACTTTAGGAGGCCAAGATGAGAGCACCATTTAAGACCAGTCTGGGAAACTTAGCAAAACTCTGTCTCAACAAAAAACAAAAAAAGAAAAAAACAAAACAAAACAAAACCAAAAAACCAGCTAAGCATGTAGTCCTAGTTACTCAGGAGGCCGAGATGAGAGGATCACCTATGCTCAGAAGTTTGAGGCTATGCTGAGCTATGATCATGTGCCACTGCACTCCAGTTCTCGCAACAGAGTGAGACGCTGGCTTGAAAAATATAAATAAATAAATAAAGATGAAGGAAACAATATTCAAATAACATGAGAGGTGAAAAAGCTTCACTTATGAACTCGGTAGGGCTGACTGTGGTGGCTCACGCCTGTAATCCCAACACTTTGGGAGGCCAAAGTGGGCAGATCACAAGGTCAGGAGTTTGAGACCATCCTAGCTAACATGGTGAAACCCTGTCTCTACTAAAAAAAAAAACACACACACACACAAAAATTAGCTGGGTGTGGTGGCATGCACCTGTAATCCCAGCTACTCGGGAGGCTGAGTCAGGAGAATTGCTTGAATCTGGTAGACAGAGGTTGCAGTGAGCGAAGATCGCGCCACTGCACTCCAGCCTGGGTGACAGAGCGAGACTCTTGCAAAAAACAAAACAAAATGAAACAAAAACAACTCAGTAAAAAAAATAAAAAATAAAATCATGACCAGGGACAATTCTCTACCTCTAAACAAACATGCTTATCCTGCTACAGAGGACTAGTTAACTAGTTATCCTGCTACAGAGGACTAGTTAACTAAGCTGAGACAGCACAGACACACTTCTGTCACATTCCCCCAACCTATTCTTGCCTCAATTCTATGGGTAACTGAGGTAAAACGCAGCTAAGGATATTGGGGTTTCCTCTGGCTGAATAGAGGAACTGATCTTGAAAAACATAAATAAAAGAAACTAATTATTTGCGAATTTGCTAAAATAGATGGACTGTAAAACAACAAAACAAAACAAAAAAACCAACTAGTAGTCCTTTAATTATAACATTTGAATGCAGCTCTAAGTTGGAAGGTTTTAATTTATTTACCAAATTTATGAAAATGGTACATCTTTCTCTCAAGCCTTGCAGTTCTCATCCCAAGCTGGCACAAGCATACACACATACAGTGCCATGAGTATGGCACTGTGAATCCTTTTGGGCCCTTACGACAGAGGGTCCTAAATAAATGATACAAGGATCATTTACTGGATACTTGTATTTTGCTAACTACAGACCTGTGTAAACTATATTCTTGCAATCAAAACATGAAAGTACACAACACACAAGCACACAAACCATGACTGTTAACTTTCTTCTTTCTGTATTTCCCTTTTGACCAAAACATAACAAACAGCAATATAAAGGTAGAATCCGGGCTCAGAAAATTCTTACTTTCTGGTTTAAAATGAACAACACTTAGGGACTAAACCAAGCTTGTCCAACCCACGGCCCAGGGGCCACATGCAGCCCAGGACACTTTGAATACGGCTCAACGCAAATTTGTAAACTTTCCTAAAACATTATGACTTTTTTTTTTTGAGATGGAGTCTCACTTTCTCAACACCTAGGCTGGTGTGCAGTGGCGCGATCTTGGTTCACTGTGCACTGCAACCTCCGTCTCCTGGGTTCAAGTGATTCTCCTGCCTCAGCCTCCCGAGTAGCTGGGATCACAGGCATGCACCACCACGCTCAGATCTTTTTTTTTTTTTTTTCTATTTTTATTAGAGATGATGTTTCACCATGTTGGCCAGGCTGGTTTCAAACTCCTGACCTCACCTCAAACGATGCACCAGGCTTGGCCTCCCAAAATGCTGGGATTACAGGCGTGAGCCCCCGCGCCTGGCCAACGTTCTAAGATTATTTTGCAATTTTTTTTTTAAGCTCATCAGCTGTCGTTAATGTTAGTGTAATTTATGTTTGACCCAACGCAATTCTTCTTCTTCCAATGTGGTCCGGGGAAGCCAAAAGATTGGACATGCCTGGACTGAACGATATGCTAGGTATTTACAGAGCTAGAAAGGCTTCCTAGTGAGCCTATACTAGGTCTATCTGAGGGCAGCCTAGCAGCAGCCACGTTAGTTGACATGGGAAGCTTGAGCCCCAAATTAAAAATCAACAAGCACAAGATCTGTGTTATACAACAAAGTACCAAAGTTTTCACTTCTGTGATACATAAATTGTATAATAGTAAGAATCCTATGATCCCGTGTGAGGTGCCAAGAAAAAAGAGGTATCTTTTCTACTTAGTTTCACAACTGCCAGTCAGGTGCCAAGGTGACTTAAAGACCGAAACTTCCCACCAAAACCAAACCCTAGGTCTATTTCCACTATGGAATACAATAAAAATCTACTCTTAAAAGATTTTGAGTCTCCCACAAAGTAACATACTTTTAATGTGACCACATTTCAAACAGTTTACCCATCACAATAAGATTTGAAATACATATGGCATGTCTCCTTAGTCTGTTTCCCTTATTATACATGTGGTTTCCTCTTTCTAAATTCGGACTTCTGCCTCATTTTAGAAGGTCAGGAGAATGTAACGCATAATACAAAAGTATTTCAAGCAAATCATATGATATCTGTACTTAATAATTTCTCATGGTTTTACACCAAAAGAATCACTGCATATTGAAGATTAAACATTTTTTAAAAGCTAGAACACTGAGCCTTCCTTTCAGACAATTCAAACAAGGAGCGTATTGCTGACACAGCAACACTGTGGTCTCAGACTGTGGGAAATGTCAAATTTATAGTCCTGGGGGTGATTGGTGGATGGTTTTGTGGTGTGTATGGTGTTTTGTTTTGTTTTGTGTGTGCTTTTTCTTTTCTCTTTTGAGCCTCTGACAGAAACAGAGCTCTACAAACTTTCTGGCGACCTCCCAGGAAAACAGAAGGAAGCTGTATCTTGTACTTCCCCTGGGATCTAATGAAATATACAGCCTCTGGGCTTCTTTCAATTTGGACTTTCAGATTGCTAAGCCAGTGAAAAGGGGATCCTAGCTGTCACAAACGTCACATGGTCAGGGTCACCTGCTGCTCGGGGGTTCTCATGCCAGTTGTTGACATAATAAGCACCCCTTACACTTTAATTACAATTCACAGTGTGCAAACTATGCAATCTGCTTTAAGGCAGACTGTCTTTTAAATCAACACTAAAATTCTACTACTAATATGGCAATGCAATGTAGCAGAGGAAGGGTGTGTCCACATGACTAACTATATGCAGATATCCGCCGTTTGGGAGACAGTGGGTAGCATTTGTCAAAATATAAAATGGTGTTGCTGCCCCTAATTCTGGTACTTGAGTCTGACTGCACTCTGAGATTTCTTTCAGTAGGCCACAAAAAGGCAATACAATATACTTCATTTGTAGCATTTTACATTTGTATAACTACTATTTTTTTTTTCACATGGCTCCATAACTGTTCTATGTACTAATCTTGCCTATCTAACAGGAGGACAGTTGAAGAACAGTGAATTTCTACTTCCCTATTTCTTCCCCTTTAAACCAAGGGCAGTGCCAGTGATGTTTAACACATGCTTCTAGAATTGTGTCAATGCTCTATCATTTACTGGATCCTTGTATTTTGCTAACTACAGACCTGTGTAAGCTATATTTTTGCAATCAAAACATGAAAGGTCATTTTAAAACAGAGCCTATTTAAAATGATATGACAATGCAGGGAGCTGTTTAAAAAGTGCTAACACATAATTACAGTCTACAGTTTTCTCCAAAAACAACAGTGGAAATTAGTTACAATTCTATTACAGACAACTGCTATAAACTTAGGTGGGCTAACCTCTGAATGAACCATCCCAGTACTCTGGGAATTGCAATCTCATTTTCAGTGCCACAAATGACGTAAGATGGAACACACAAAACAAACCCACACAGAGTACTTTTATGTTTATAAAGTCTTACTCAAACACCTTAGCTGAGCTAACTGGTATGCCTCACTGTAAAACACCACCACCACCAGTAACAAAAAATAAATAATCAAACAAAATAGAAGAAATCCAAACTGAAAAAAAAATAGTTTTTAAAAATAATAATGCCAGTACTAGATTTAATGAAGGATGTACCTGAATTACAAATGTCATCATGACAGATTAACTTAGCCAATAATTATTCACTGCTTTTTTTTTTTTTTTTTTTTTTAGTGTCAAACAATGGTAGACACCAAGACAAATAACAACAAAGGCAAAAGAGTTTACTTTATTTAGACATGCTTATTCTAACATAAGGAGAAGATACATTTTCCTTTCAAAAACTGAAGTCTCTTTGGGCAAACTTTCAGTCCTTTGGCTATTAGGGTTTGTCTTCATGAAGACAGACATAAAGCAATTCTGTTCTCTTCCTTATTTGAACACTTTCAGCCTTCACCTGGCTCTCTGCCATCCCAGCTAAACCACTTGACCTCTGATTACATAACAGTCCCCATCTGTGAGCTCAGCCATCCTCGGGAGATAGGAGGGGCCATGAGAAGCTCAAGTTCACCACAAGCCACAGCAGTAAGCCATGCCCTAGCCTCTGACCTGTGCTCCAATTTTGGTACAATAATTTCTGCCATGTTCTCCAACAGGTAAGCTCTACCTCAAGGACTAACTTCTGTGCCTGTATTTGGTCAAGTGCCTTGGCTCATCTGGAACTGGAGATGTTGACTTGCTTTTCCCTACCTGCCTCCCAAGAACAAAATTCTGGCATGGAAACCCAGGCTAGCATGTGGAGCCCTATGACCCACTGACAGACTTCTCTGATGCTAATCATCTGCCTGGATTACTGTCATCTGCTCATGTTCTCTATTTCTTGGTTCTGTCCAACTTTGGGGAGATTCACGTGTCAGTTAGACTTCCATGTTGTAAAACACTCCACTAAGCTTACCAGCCAGTGCCTATACTCCGACCATTTAGAACATGGCTGGACTGAACTTCTTTACGGAACTTCAAAACTACCAATCCCAGAATATCAACCTTCACATAATTTCAGGTCCTGGCCCTTTACACATCTCATCCCAAGATATGAACTCTATCTGACAATTCCCTTTTCTTTCCCTTGGTAGGTAGGAAACAAAACATCTCTAAAACTCTGTAAAGAATATGAATAAAAAATAGAATAGAAGTTAGCTTATCCAGTACTGTTACGGCCAGTCGTTGGTTGGTTAATTTGAAAAAATGGATGAAGAAGATACTCTTTTAATGAGACATATGTACCTTAAACATTTTAACTTTGAGCACATATGTGGACATTCTTTGGCCAATCTTTTTATGCAGAGACAAGAATTTAAATTTAATAAGTCTGTTAATAATTGGAGCTCCACAGCATCTTTCTTACATAATGCGTATCTATAATGCATCAAAAAAGATTTCCAGTTCCATTTACTTTAAGTAGAGGGAGAATTTAAAGATACTTCTAAAATAATCTAACAAAACTCTTATTTTTACAACTTCTCTCATCTTCTGCAGTTGTCTCACTCACATGTAATCTGACAGAAATTTGTGTAGCTTGCCTTTACTGATTCTTTCTAAGGCACTGGGTTAGTTTCATAGAAATAAAACTTTTTCATTTTGAACTTTCATGCCATTGGTTCACATAAATTTAATTAAATCACACAACAGTGATACATATAAAACTAGTATAAACAGGTCTGGAATAACACAACTAGTTATGTAGTAGGTAACTGTTGGCCATGAACATTCAGCATGCCAAAGGAATCAGTTAGCATATTACAAAGAAAATAAAAAGTCTTAGTTATCCATCTTGCAAGCTGGTTAATACGGTTTCTACTATGAGGGTCTATCCAAAGAAAATATAATCCAAATATTCATTGAATGGATATTATGAGTAGAAACTGATGTTTGATGCATAAAGCTTGATGCTGGGATACAATGCTGAAAAAGACACCTTTCCCAGCATTCTGGTGTAGCTCTGATTTCTAATAATATCAGAAAGTAATCAGAAATAATTATAAGAAACTCCCCACTGGACTTACTGTATTTTACATGGTAACTGAATTGATACCTCTATCTACCTGCTATAGGAGGCTTAATATTCAAGTTGATCTAAATGTATTTAAAGAACATGAAAATTAACCAACTTACCTCCTAATACAGTATTTTCAAATTCTGAATTCTATTTATATTTTTGTTATTTTGTATCACTACTTCTGTTTTCATTTAAATACATGATTGGTGAAGCCGTTTTTAAAATTAGAGGCACTGCATTAATACAAAAAAATCAACTGCCATTTTAATATCACTTAGTCTGACAATTGAAAACAATCACATAACGGTCATAATTTTTCAGTATTTTATGATTTTTCAGGTTATATAACTATCAGTTTTCCCGTGATTGTACTTAAGATCAACCTTTTAGCAATACGAAGCCTTCATCTCAACCTTCTGCTTTTTATCAGTTTACTTATTATCAGCTTCAAAATAAGTGTATGACGTAACTGTGGCAATAATGATGGTCCCAGTAACAGCTAGCATTTATTGAATGTCTAGAAATAAAAATAAAGTGATTTACATATACATAACTTTCCCAGCAACTTTTGCAAAGTAAACATTACTATCCTCATTTCAGCGTGAGGAAACAGACAGCACTAAGAGAAAAAGCTGGAACTCAAAACGAAATTAACTCCAAACTTAAGTTCTCCCACTTCGACAAGGTGTGTGTATGTACGTAGTAAAGAGATCACAGAGTTCCCCCTCCAGTGAAATTTGTATTTGTACAGATGCATGTGTATGTAGGCATGTGCGCACACAAACACACACATACACTTTAGTTAAATCAATTTCATATGCAAAAGAAAAGTGAGCCAGGGCTAAGTTATTAAAAGAAGCCTTTGAAGCAGAGAGTGATGATGTGTGAAAGACATACCACAAAAGTTTATTTAAACAAAGAACAAGCACAGAGGGATGGGACAAAAGTGAAAATAAGAGAAATGAAGGCTCTCCATCTTTTCTCTGTGTGTATGGATTTCTCATACATAGAAAAACAAAACAGTAAGAAACAGATGTATGCAATTTATGGAATATCCAAAAGTAAAATTAGTTTAAGCTAGGGCCCAGATGAACTCAACTCCACACTGATCTTTCAACAAAGATTTTCTATGTGAAACACAATCATGTTATCCTGTAGTAAAGTCCTTGATATTAAACATAATTTCTTACTTCTAAGAAAAAACTCGAGCTATGATTTTAATAAATATTTTTATAGTATCTTTTTCAGTGTCATGCTATGAAAGCAAAATTTTCAAGTAGGTTTCAGAAAAGAGATAGAGCCTTTTTACTTTCACTCATCATGCTCTGCAGAACATTTCAATATCCCAGTGTACATTTCAACAGGCACTAAACTGGCCCACAGTTTTCTTACAATTCAAATTTTTGTCTGGTCATCTTAATTAAAAGGGAAAACTTCGGCCAATCATACAGAAATTATATTCATGACACATACCATCTAGATCATATGGAAGTGGCATGGTACTTGTAAAATAAACATTCCTCTTTTAGCAAAACAAAGAGCAACATTTACATTGCTCTTGGGGAGCAGAACTAAAAAGAGAGGCCAAAAAGTTGCAATGGAGAAAGCTCTTCTAATCTAAAGTGAAAACTAATTTTGTCTGCTTGCATTTAAGTAGACATTATAAAAGTCTTATAGAGACGCCATGCTTACAGAAGGCATTATTGCCTTTGAATATAAATGAAAGCACATTTCTAGCACTTATATTATTACAAATATTGAAAATGGCCTCCAGAAGCTTTTAGCAATGTACTCTTTGTCTTGTTTCCAAAGAAGCAATCCAATTAAAATGATCATTTTCAGCATAGAGGACTAGGACAATGAACCATACCTTGCACCCGGCATCTTAGAAATACTTTGGGAAAAAAATCTATGGAAAATAGATTTGAAACTTCCATATGCGTTCTGTGCACTTTTACTAACCAAGCATAATTTACCAATATTTTCCTAGAAAAGGAACTGCATGTGTTTTTCTGCCTCTTCCAGTAAGTATCCATCCATGATTATTCCAACCCATACCATGTTTGCTTCCTTGAATTCACTAGGTCACAGTGTATCTTGTGTACTCAAACTGTCAGCAGGAATATGGTAACGAATATTATTCTTTTTTTCTTTTTTTTGAGATCGAGTCTCACTCTGTTGCCCAGGTTGGAGTACTGTGGCATGATCTCGGTTCATTGCAATATCCGCCTCCCGGGTTCAAGCGATTCTGGTGCCTCAGCCTCCTACGTAGCTGGGACTACAGGCGTTTGTTTGCCACCAAGCCCAGCTAATTTTGTATTTTTAGTAGAGACGGGGTTTCACCAGGGTTTGAGGCCAGGCTAGTGTCAAACTCCTGACCTCAGGTGATCCACCTGCCTTGACCTCCAAAAGCGCTGGGATTATAGGCGTGAGCCACCGCATCCGGCCATTATTCATTTTTGATATATTCCTTCTACCTCCCCCATCTAATAGCAAATACCCATGTTAAGTATAAAGAAGACACTTAATACATGTATTGGATAAATTATTTTTCTTATAATAAGATTATTTCATTGTTTGTCCTAACTATAACATTTCGTTAGTAAAGTTTTTGATTTGTAGAAATATTTCCTTCTGAAAAAAATTGATGTTTACCATGTTGTTGTGGTCTAAAGTTTTTCCTCAATTCCATAAACTTAATTCTTGTGGCCATTTTTTCAATCAGTAAGTATGTAAGCACCTTTTATAAATTGTTTTAAAATTGTTTACACTACACTTAATACTAATGAAATTATAAAATAAAAATGTATTGTTTTATGCATTTCAGGATGTATATCATAAAAGATGGATGTCTTCCTTTTAAAATATTTGAATGGGTCACCAAATAATTACCTACTTTTCTCTCACAACTCAGATAAATAATTAAAAGGAGATAGACACAGATTGGTTGCATACTTAAGAGTGAGAATCAATTAAAACAAAATTGCATGCATGTTCTTCCAATAATATATCCCTACAGGGATCATGAGATGCTACCTCTACATTTGTAAAATCACTGAGGTCAGATCAGAGCCTTAATGCTATTTCTCCACGAGCATTCAGAAGTGGTCGTGCATAGGCGTATGTGGAATTGGGGCTGGGGAAGATTTAATTGGCAATTTTTTAGTTATTAGTATCTTCATAATTAAGTGCTTTAAAAGTTTCTTATAATGCCCCAGAAACCAGAAATGGTTGTTGAATACTTACTGAGCACGCCTAGAGTGGAAGTTTCTTGTTTAAGTTGGTATTTAAGTTGGGACTGCAGTACGGCATCTTTCACAAAGAAACATTTTGGGATTACCTTTAAATAAACATTTAAATCCCCTTCATTAATTGTCTCAGAGCTCTCGGGTGCAACTTAACAATAGGAAGCAGCTCTGCTCTAAACAAAAGAACATAGAGCTTTGGGCAGATGCCACTATTTGAGAAATCACACATCATAAGGAAAGGTGGTTACTTCTAATTTAGTTCTGTGGACCAATTCAAGTTTGGGGGTTCCAGAAAGCCTGAAACACTACCTCTCAGGGCTGTGTTTTAATATTAGGGAACTGTCTAATTTCTGCTCAAGAAGTTCTGTGCATTAAGTTTTACAAAATCCATCTCACCCAAGCCTTTTAGTTAAAAGGCTTGCATAATTGTGCACACAGATGAAAACGGCACTCGTGATATTACATACTTTACCGCATTTTCCCTTGAATCTATCTGCCCATTATTATGGTTAATTATGCAGAGGTTTGGTTCTCCAGCTGGAGGGACAGCTAGTTGAGGGAGAGCTAGTTGAGGACCTTTATTTTTTTCCCTGCACCTAGTTCAGTAGCTGACATAGAAGGGCTTGGTAAATGCTGGCTCAATTAGATTTTTCAGAACTTCCTCAGACTAATGTTTGCTTATCACCGCACACATGTACAAGAAATACTTGAAACTCTTGAAAAGGAAATTTAGTCCTTTAAGGGTTCAGAAATAACGATGAGAGATAACATTCTCTCCCTAAAAACAAAAAAGCTCAAAACCAGGAAACACTTGATAAAGGAGCTCATGAGGATACTTATTCTCTCATTTATTAAACTAAGAAAGTTCTCAGGATCATGTTGGCAGTAGACCATTTCTGGCCCTGAGATGAATGCCCTTTTTCCAAGTTAAAACCATGGCCCAGCTGTGAAATAATGATGGCTGCAAGGAACCCAGTGGTGGCAGCAAACTCAACTCAAAGGCCCAATATCTGTAGGCACCAAACAGACAAGCCAGCAAAACAGGAGTGGTGACCAGATGTCAGCAATGGCCCGAGGGCATCCCTCTCACCTCTCCTCACACATAATGCTGCTTTCTTCCCCCACCCATTAAGTGTGGCATCAAGAGCAATTACAGCACACTCCCAATAGACTGTGCCAGGCTGGGAGCTGTAACACCTGTCACAAGGCCCGCATGACATTAACGAGGACCCGGAAAGTAGCTTTAATGAGCTGACCCTGCAACAGATAGAACCTAGTGTGGTGTGGTGTATGTTGTGACTATTCCAAAGATACTGCTCCCTGTACCAAGAACCGGAGCAAACACATACATTCTGAAAGCCCAGTTCTTCAGAGTGCCACTGCATATCACGCAATGACACATGAAAGTCTGTGAAGTACACATTTCACTTGGTGTCAGCTTAATGCTTTGTCCATCTGGAAATCTTTATCAGTGGCATTCAGGTGACGAACTTGAGTTGTGTCTTGATACTCTTTTTGTGATAGAGTTGTAACTTTGGGAGTTGTAAGCTCCTTTAAGAAAAGATGCATTTCTTCCTCATCTAGCTCTTCCCACTGCCCAAAAGCCAGTACATGGCAGATGGCTGGAAGAATGAATGGACAAACAGATGATGTATGAAAATTACTTAATGCTTACAAAACCTATCGTGAGACAAACGGTCAAAAAAGTAAAATGGATAAGAGACTGACAGAGCTCGTTTTGGTTCACGGTCAACATTTACAGGCAAAGGGAATGACTTCAGGATTCTTGAGCATCCAAGACACTGGCCTATAAAACCTCATACAATGCGATGCTTAGTCAACTTAATAAAATTACTAATATGCTAAGATACCAAGGCTACTAATAAAGAACTACAGACGAACCAGTGAGCCAATTTCACATCAGGAGCCCAGCAGGCGATGTCTAGGAGTAAGTACTTGGTACACATTAACACCGATTATACTTCTGATTGCAATAATTAATAAGGGAAATTAGCCTAGTGATTTACAATGTGTCCTCCAAAAATCAGTCATTCCATCTTTGAAGGGGATATTATGGACAATGACACAAAGATAGTTGCTTCCAGATTTTTTTTTTTTTATACGAGTTGGAAGGAATCTGAGAAGTCGTTTTAGTCTAATCCCTTCATTTTTCAGAAGAGGAAACTGATGCCCCCAAAGATTAATATACTGTATCTGAAGACATGCAACTAGTTGAAAGCCAAGTGACTCAAATGATCAGGGGTTCTGTTTGTCTTTCTGCCTAAAGAGAACCATAATACCTAGCTTCTATCAACCCACACTATCATAAGAAATTATGTATCAAGAGTCGCATTTTAAGTATATGACATAAAGGTTAGTACAAATCCAAGATAACGTTACTTTTTCAAAATAATGTTGATGAACATATCTACTGTTAAATTCCACTCCTAAAACAACAATCATTACTACAACTATATTTATGTCTTGGCAACTTTCCAAGAGATCCTGGAAATGTTAATACTTATAAAGAAGTTCCAGTTCCTCTTTTTAAACAGCATTATTATTAGATTTTCACAACAGGATAACTATATTTAAATACTAAGTAGCTTATGATTCATACCTTCGAAATAAAACAGTTCACTTCCAAATGCTTGTCCTCAAACTGTGGACACACAAAGCTGCCACTAGAAAGTAGTGGTTTTTAATTATGTGCCAGCTTTAGTTATTTTGATTCTTTGGGGTTCATACGGGTTTATAGGACTTCACTCAGTTTATGGGGTTCAGACAAGGCTCATAGTGAATTTCACCTGGAACTTTTCACATGGTTTGAGCATTAACCAGGGATTGAGTGGTTTACAGATCATCCAAAAGAATTTCTGTCTTGGACTCTTGCCGTGAGCTCTAAGTATTTAAATTCCAAATGAATTTATATCACAGAATGACTACAGGTTTTTAGTAACTGTTTCTATTTTCTTATTTTTGCCATTTTAAGTGAAAACCATGAAGTAGATGCACAGAGAGGAGAATTTGATAATCCAAAGTTTAAAAAAAAAATAAATGAACCCTAAATGTCTTGATATCTAAATATTTAACAGTTTACAAAGGACTTTCATATATTAATTTATTGGATACTAACCACTGACCTTTGTAGAATATAATGAGATCAGTATTTATGCCAATATTATCTCACTCTTTACCTATGTAATTATGTTTTCTAACTGAAATATTTATGAAAAATAATAATCAATTATTAATATAATTTATTTTGTAAACAAAATATTAAAACCATTTTTATAACATTTTTTCCCTGAAGAACAAAAGCTTGGACCATAATATATGGAAAACATTTTGATGCCTATAGTGAGGACTTTGAACTTTGAAAATTTACTTTATATTTATGGAAATGTTTTCAGGGGATGTTATAATGAAGTTTTACTGTGTATACGATGTTTAAAAAGCTAACACAATGAATGAATACTTACAAAACAAAAACTATGCCCCTCAATTTAATTCTACATACATAGTTTATAAGATTTCAGGATGGTGTCATAGCTTTTAGTTAAGAAAAAGCCATCTAAATTTTCTAGGTTGAAAGTTAGCAAAAACCCAACTATGTCCTCCTCATACTAATGCATGAAATACCATTTTTGCTTACATTTTGAAGACTCAAATTCATCCCAGCCATTTTTCTATACATAATGTATGTTTGAGTTGAAAAACCTAGCAAGAGGACATTTAGTTCCATTTATTTCAATCTACTGGAAGTATTTAATGAA